CTTTCTTTCTTTCTTTCTTTCTTTCTTTCTTTCTTTCTTTCTTTCTTCCTTTCTTCCTTTCTTCCTTTCTTCCTTTCTTCCTTTCTTCCTTTCTTCCTTTCTTCCTTTCTTCCTTTCTTCCTTTCTTTTTTTTAAACACAAAGCAGATCAAAGTTATCCCATCAGTACAAGCAAAACTATTAATACACTCCCATTGAAACTGGAACTGAACAGTCAGAATTCACAGAGACTGCTGTAAACTACTAATTTCTGCTCCATTTACTGGTTACTGAAATTCAGCCTTTGGGAAATGATGACTTTCATAAAAAGAATAGAATTACATTGTTGGTACTTGGTGCTGGATTTATAATCACTTATATATGTTACATGGTGACAGTGTTGTCATTTATGTAACAAGCAAATGATCCTTGATTTATGAGTTAGCTCACAGAACAACACTGGAACTTTTTAATGACTTAATAACTGAAAGGCGTGAAAAAAACAGCCTATACACTCTGCAAAAAGAATATAGGCTAGAGAACTGATGAGTCAAGAAACAAAAACTAATAAATTATATTGCTGAGAAAAATCCACTGCATATTAACATTATCCCACTCACATTATTCTTGCAAGCAAATCACCTCAAATGTACTGACAGTGGATTTGTATAGCATTTTGATGTGCTCAGATTATATAGCATTGCATTATCACAGGCGCTGTTGAATCTTATTGCCTTGATCTTTCCCTAAGCTTTTTGGAAACAACAAGTGAATATGATAAAGTGCAACAATTTGGCAAGTGCTAGACTCTAATGCCAATTTTTCCTGAGTTACAGATTTTAAAGAATAATTTGTAAATTATTTATCATCTTTGAGACTTGCCATTTAACTCATCACAAATTCATTAAGTTAAACTAACCACCAATTTCACTGAAAAATATGAGTACTTAATCAAGATTGCTTTGCCACTGCAGGGACCTTGAAAACAGACCTTATATTCTAAAAGTTTAACTGCTATTAAAAAGTTCAGTTCTTAATTCTTTTACCATGTGTACATAGCAAAACTTGAAAAGTATCTTTGTGGGATTACTTAGCTATTGTTCACCAATAAGACACTGGAAAGGTTGATCACTGCCAGACTGAAAATGAATCCCAGAAATATTCATCTAGACAGATTAATAATCATAGAAAGACCACTTTCTTCATTAAAAGTTCAGTTATTTCACTTGTGCAAACTAGAGAACCAAAGGAATCAGAATGATTTGGACCACATGCTGATTGTGTAGCTCTTCAAGGTTTTCAATTTTAATAAATGGTTTGAAATGTAATTTAACTAAGTACTTCTAATATATATATACTATATATATATAAGAGCACAATGAAACTGGATTTTTCCTATAGAAACATACAGAACTAGAATGAAAGCAGGTAGGGTTGTTCTATGGCAATGTGATTGGCACAATTTTCTCAGTCTCTGAGCAGCAAAACTGACTAAGACTAAAAAGCAAAGGTTCCAGGTATGATTTTGATATGGGCACACTAGAGGTATAATTCAGGCAGACAGATGCAGTACTTAGGCATCTGACTCTAGATGCAGCTGTTCACATGTAAACTAAAGCACTGGCACTTGGGAATTAAAGGCTTCAGAGATAAGACATTGTTTAAAAGTAATTTGTGAAATGAATGATTTAGATTTACTGAAGGACCTTGAACACAACAAATGTTTGATGCATATTTTCTATATAGAAACCTTACTTAAGTAAAGACTTGTACTAAGCCTTTAATCTAGGTAAGAAATGTAACTTCTTCAATAAATTAATTGTC